AACTTTGTCTTAAACACAGCCATAGCCACTGTCAAGGGTTAAACATTGCCTTGAAAAAAATTAATGCAATCAGAAGGTTAATAGAGCATTGAAGCTGTTACTGTATGCCACTGAAGCCAATCAATTTGCTGTCACCCACTTCGAGGAGTGGGATTGACGAATTTTCGAATTCATTTGAGAACACCTAAATAATCAATCAATCACACAGATTGCTTTATACAGTCCCAGTGAGAAATGAAGAGCACTCTGTGTGTACATCACCAATCAACCAGTGGGTGTCAGGCTTGTACAGACCGCCACTGCTAACTTCTAGAATAGCACCTACAGTATATACAGCACGTGACAAACAGAATAACCAGTGTTTATTTGCAGCTCCTTAAGTACAAATAGCAATTGCATAAGATTTTGGAATCCTCGATTGTGTGGCTTGGAAAACAAACTGAAATTAGGATGAGTAAATTTCAGCTCAGTGCACTGCTTCATCAGCCTTTCCAGGCACACAGCTGGACGCAGTATGGCAAAGTCATTATCTGGGACGGACAGGTAATAATCTTCTCTGACAAATTTCACAAGGTGCTTTGGAGGATCATATACAGTGTCAGTTCAAGACCAATTTAAAGTATATTTTCCAGAATGTTTTTTTTGTGATGCAGGTGGAGATCGGTGGCTTCACCCATATAATTTCTGGACAACAACTTACTCACAGATGACCTTTATACAAAGACATGCGATTTGTACAAGAGGGAATCTTTGTCATGTACTGAACTAACAGCACACTAAATGCAGATTATAAAACAACAAGTAATAATGCTCACCAATGCACTTGGGAAACCTTGAGTAAAAGATCTTTGCATTTTTAGACCAAAAATGTTTTCAAGTAAAATGCATCACTGTATATTCTGAAACAAGCTACACAGCTATGGTGACAAAGCTTATGTCCCAATTTCTTTCTGGATGAGATCCTTGGATCAGTTAGCTACCAACTGAGCCAGACTGGCCTCCTCTAGAGGTTTTGAAACCTCTCTTATATTCTAGAGTCCAGAGTTGTGGTTGTGGAGAAAACATACTAATGCATTTGTGTGTGTTCCAAAAACAAGAACCCCGCCGGACAGTGCCGTAATCCGAGACGAGCCACGACGCAGTCCTCCAGAGCACAGTCATCCAAAAATCAAAAGCTGAACACATCGGCATTTTTCTCAGGAGTTTTTAATGACTTTCAAGTGCGAGCTGCGACAGCTCCACATCATTTCTGTCAAGCAAAATATTTTTTAAAAAATCAGAGAGAGCCGGAGACGACATGGCATAAAAGAGTGGTCTGTGTCGAGTTCCAAAAGGATTATGGTACACAAGACGGGATGAAACCCTGCATTACGGAATGTCATCAACTGTAACCACATAAAGCATAAACAGCACATATATTTCTATTGTTCACGCATATGCAACAGCTAAGGGCACTGCTCACATGTCTGTGGGTTCCAGTCAGAGAAGAGCTCAGTGGTTCATTTGTGAAGAAATGTAGAAAACGCAGATGGAGACAGAGACATTTTGGTTACACGGGGGCACACACAAGAGTGAAAGTATCTGATACACAGGCATCTGGAAGCTGATATCAAGTCTTTATGCTGAAGAGCGACTTGGCCTTGGGCAGCCATCTCCTGAGAAGCACTCTAATTTGATGAAAGCCTAAGGGGAACCCACTGATTATCCTGCCTCCTGAAGGGAGTTTTAATTGAAAGGCTGTGCCATTAGATCAGGGTGGCAGATGGGGAGGAAAAAAAAAAGAATCAAAACTTTCAAGAGCTCTCGTAAAAATACAGTGGGTAACACAGTCTGTGGCCTTTCTGCAGCAAAAGGATATGCAATAATGCTGCTCCTTGCCTCCAGCCTACTGAGAAACAGATGTGCTCAGGCAGCACACGGCTGTTCCCTTCATAACCAAACTGGAGCAGCGCGGACCGTAGAGGTCTCCACTATAGAAAGCCAGGAGGTGTCTCACAGCAGCACCAATATTCCAGAACAAGTGGACATGAGGGAAATTTCCAATATATTTCTGTAGCACAAACTATTGTTGACACAATAGTCAGTGGTCAGCACCGCTGCCTCACAGAGTTGGGGCCCTGGATTTCATTTCAGACCTGGGGTCCTTTCCCCATGGATTCTGTATGTGCTCCCTGGGTTCACCGGCATTCCCCCACAGTCCAAAGACATGCTGCTAGGTTAAGTGTCTTCTGGAAAAACTGGTATAAGTGCGTGTGCGTTTGTGTCTGGGTGTGCCCTATGATGGACTAGCGTCCCATCCAGGGTGTGTCCTACTTTGCGCCCGTTGCTTGCTGGGATAGCTCTCCCATGACCATAAACTGAATGAAGCAGTTAGAAAATGGATGGATGGAAACATGTTGCACTTCGGGAGCTTTAGAAAACTGTGTACAAGATATATTCCGACGTGTATTGAGCTGATCCTTTCTGGTCCAGAGCAGAGGAGACTCCGAAGGGAAAGCATTTAAGGCATTCAAAATCCTCAAGAGCATTAACAGTGTCAACCCATTGGACCACAAGGGATTGTGGGTGTCTGTAACAAGCTGCTCAGCTATGCAGTTGGTGCCGATACCCCTGCTTCTTTCAAGAAATGGGAGGAAAAGGCCATCAGACTACCTACTAGCAGCCAAAACTAGTTCGATAGGACAAATGGTTCTCTAGTAACCAAAATATTTCCGTGAGTATGAAGTATTCCAGCAGGCACTACAAGCCATGACAAAATTCATCACACTGCTGCCCTCCCATAATTCATCATGCTATTTAAATCTGAAAGACTAATATGACAGGAAAAAAAGCTTCCACGAATTAAGGGTAACGTATTTAATACCAAAATTCTTTACACTCGTACTGTGAAACCACACAATATTTAATTTTACACTGCAACCACAAAATACCACAATATTGTGAAACACACTGTTCTGAAACAGAATGTCCTGCCATCCCAGTGGAATGTTTTAGGAAAGCATCGAAAGATTGGCCCAAGTAAACTAAAGAGGAGTTATTGGTCTTCAAAATTACAAACAGATTCTTGAAGGCAGCAATAATGAATCTTTCCAAACCTTTCTCAGTCCAACTCCAAAGAACCAGTCTAATGACCGAGAGAGCACAGGCTTCTTGTTGAAGAACAGTAGTTGTTGCAGGGTGGCTATATACAGTACGGTACTGTAGGATTTCTTAGTCCTAGAGAGCTTATGAAGATGTTTTCAGTGACCGTGACAGTTTGTGGTCTCAGGATGCAATTTAGAGAAACTGTGAAGTCTATGAGCAGACTGGTGCTTCCTGAAGAACACAAAGGTAATGGTTTGTATTGAGCAAAAGCAAAAATACACTTTGACACTGAATTGTAAAAAAAAAAGCATAATTTTCAGGAAAATTGTAAATACAGTGTAAACAAGGAGTGTGCAGCTGAACAGGTGTGATTCTCAGCACCGACAGCATGCCTGATTTGAGATCTAATCTGAGATAACATATCTTCTCAAATTTGCATTAGGTGCATTATTATTCCACTCAAACCTGCTTGGTAAAAGAATACGCCCTGGCCACAGGTGTGGTGAACACCTAAGAGCAAAGGTAGTCAAGAAGCGTTGCAGAATGTATGCAGAATACTAGACGATGTACTGTAAATTAGGTTGGAGGTACAGTATGAAGGGTAATATATATGTTCAAGTGAGTAGGCACTAATGAAACACATATACAGTACCTATGTACCTACATGTACATATAGGTGTATACAAGAGCTAACTGGGACTTTCTTCCCTTAGTTTTTTACATTTTTGGTGCACACTGTATAGGTACAGAGATTCTGTAATCCCTTGAGAGGAAACTTTATAACAGGAAGAAGTATCTGGGTCATGTGTTATATGTCTATTGTCTGGCAGCTGTGCGTCGGATTTTCATTTTTTCAGCACACTGATTCACAGCTCTGCCGATTCCACCCATACTGTACTGTATAAGTACAACACAAAGTGCATGCATTCCCTAAAGCTGTAAAGCAGGAAAAAGGAAATGGGGACAAGAAATGTGAGATTCGAATTCCTCATTTGTACACAAACGAAGCGTAAAATCCAGGTTTGTACTTTGTTAGAAATTCGCTATATAGAAGCAAAGTGGTTAACAATGCCAGGACCAAAACCTCCCAGAAACAACTTTCTCCTCATCTACGTCTTCTCTTCTGACAGCACGTCCGGGGTCAAAGAGCTTATGTTACATCATATAAATATCATAGATATGGGTAAGGTGTGTCTAAATATATACAGAAGAATTGTTAAAAACAACCGATTCAACAAGTGAAGTCTTGGCAAAGGCCATGGGGTAGATTGCTTCACACCTTCATCTTGATTCACAAACACTGGTTTTCACAATTTTCGTTATGATACCCATTATTTTGCAATTACAAAGAGATGTTTGCGACCACCAAGGTGCTTATTTCACTGCCAGATGGAAGACTCCATCCTCATAGCGTGACCACTACAGACTCCCTCAGCGCAGGCCTTCAGTGAGTCTGCGTTCAGAAAACTTTCTCGCCTTTCACTAATCTTGTCTATTTATCATATTTACTACTGCAACAGAGTTAAGAGGGTAATTATCAGAAACAAAAAAGAGTGCTTGTTCTGTTAAGATTCAGTGCTGTGTTATGGAAAAAAATAAGCAATATTTGGCGATTGGAAACCAGTCAGCTTTTCCATTCAACAAGCAATGGGGTTATGCATTTTCACCCCACGAACAGTTTTTGGGGAACTAATTCCATTTTTTAAATCTAGAGGTGGGTGAATATTTGCCTGCTGCCACTAGCAGAGCTCTGGGTTTCCGTGATACGCTGTTCAAACATCAAATCCCCAGAGTTGACCGTCTGGGATAGATTACAGAGAATCTCTGCGTCCAGAGAGTCCCCAGTTTCTCCCTGAAGGGATCTGGAAGAAAAGCCTGCATCGGCGATTGCTGCATGATCGGACAGGATTTCTTACCCGTTTATGATCTCTTTGTTTTCTGCGCGGATGAAATGCTCCTTGTCAGGTGTCAGGATGCACAGGGAGTTCTTCTGGCCCGTCCTGGCCTCTCCATCAATCACATCCGAGCACTGGTTCATGTTGATGGTGCCCTGAGGCAATGTGCTGGGCTGTTGGCAGGGAGAGGACAGAAAAGAAACCCCTTAGTTTTCTTTTATACTGAATACACTCTTTGACAAGGGCTGTTTTGCAGGGTGGATACATTGGAAGGACTAGCATTTGAGTGCACTAGTGCTACAACTTTGCTTAAATCATCCTTACTGCAAGGGATCAATTCTTTTTTTTTTTGTCTATGAAGTTGGCTAGTGTTAAATTGAAACCAATTCCCTATAAATGTTTTGTGCACAGCTTAATTATTTATATATATTTTTTGTCAGATAACAGTTTCTCCTGACCCTAATTAAACAGACATTTAAAATCACCAGCTTAGCGATGCCACTTGTCTTCTGCAAAACTGCCATCCAGTCTTGCAGAAGACAAGTGGTCTCTGTGACTGAGACCATTCTAACCTACAGGTATTGCCCATACAATTCAGTCATTTAAACATTTTCATGAGGGCTGGCCTTTACGAAGCTACTTTCTTTGGCATGAATTCATTGCAAAGCATTAGTCGCCAAGGTGTGCAATTTTGGAAAAAGCAAGTGACAATTGCAATACCTTTTGTGTTTAACCCACACATTTTAAGCCAGTTAGAATTCCAACTTCCAGAACTAACTAGGAGGATACCAGATTGAGGCTGACAGTCACAGACACAGCTCATTTACTCCAATGCTTTATCTCAGAAAAGATAAGTGTTGCCTTGGCTCTAGACAAACAATAACTCTTCAACGCCTTCGCTGAAGTTCACTGTCACCCTCAGGCAAGTCCAAGTGGCAGACTGTCACACTAGCATGGCTCTCTCCTGTAAAAGGGCGTGCCCCCTCCCACAAAACAACCCTTTTACTATCTACAAATAAACATGGCATTGTTGCTTTATGAAGTATCGCTTGGCACAGCAAACTCTCTTTCTCATCCCATAATGCACGGCAGAAATGTTTATACATACTTCACTGACGTACAGGGAGTAAATGCAGCAAATGTTCGAAGAGGAGGGAGTGAAGATGGGTACTTTTGCAAAGAAAAAAACAGCTTTGCTTTATACACAGATCACATTTTCCTCCAACTTGGAAAGTGACTACGCAGCCAAGAGAACATTGTACTTAGGAAAAAAGTTCTTTACTTCTCTGGATGGAAGGCACAATGCATTTCTTCCAAATTTCACTACAAAAGCTGCTGTAACAAACAGAACCATGGATCATTCTTATTCTTTGAAGTTCTCAACATTTAAGAAACCTATGACGATCTTACGGGTGCTTACTTTTATTATTCTGACTCAGTTTGTTTTTCAGCATTCCAGTTCATTGACCTATTGATTAAAAAGCTCTTGAATGCAAATTGCAGTCTTTTTCTCAAAAACTCTTCATCATTGGGCAGGCAGGACAGTGGCTACACTTAATAGCCCTGCCAATACAAAAGTAGATTGCAAAGACAAGAGCAAATTGACTTAGGAACTGAAATTAGCAAACAAAAATAAAGTCACAAATGTTTTGAACTAAAGCTGATTTTATTTGCTATTCTGTCTTCAGGCACCCTGCCTGGTACGGATATCTAGATGCAGATTATTTTTTATTCTGTCTTTCCTGGGAATCTATGAGCAGCCAGCTTGCCTGATGTTCACTTTCTTTGGTACACAGTGTTCCAAACGAATTCTGTTCTACGGTATTAAACACCAAACTAACAGGATAGAGTGCTGGAAACAAACTTGTGTATGATAATCAATACTAGTGACTTCAAACCCACAGCCTTGAATCTAATGTTTTGAGTTGCTGCAGTGCGATTATGTGATTAGGCATCTAGCAGGTAATTAACACTGGTTTTTGGATGTCTTTTTTTCCCCATTTGTCCCATCAAGAGTAGAACCTTCAGCCAAAGTATAGTCTTCTAATACTGAATTGTTATGTACCTCAAGGAGAAAACAGTTGATTTTCAAACATGTGGTTATTCTGTAGACCACATACTGATTCCAGTTCGAGACAAGGTGATCTGTAACCAAGATAAAAGCCAAGTGCTTGCAGCAGAGCTTTTATTCGCTCAGATACTGTGTGAGGTTCTGTTGCATTAGGAGGTTGGCTGTTTGTTTAACTCTCACCCCTCCCTGGCTACTGCCAGCAGAGATAAAGATCCATCTGTTTCTCCTATACAGACTTGTGTCTGCTTCCTCTCTTCCATGTGCTTGGGGCTGAACATTGCAAGGTCAAATGTCTGACCTACAGTGTAGAGCGCAGTGACCTACTTCTCTTCACAGCTGTGGGGTATGCAGGCATCTGTTCTATCTCTTCAACCAGGTGTGTGACCCAACTGTACACTGTACACTGTACACTGCACAGACACAGCGCGAATCAGTCTGCTCCTTCTGCACATTGCATGAGCTAACTCCACTAATAACCCCAGACACGGAATCTTTACTGCATGCTTTAAGTCATGCAGAAACACGCTGGGGAACAGACCAGGGCACTTTCTGCGAACTAGACAGTGCTTCTCTAATTCTTCTCAATCTGAGAAAAAAATGGTAAAAAAAGCTCTTTACAGACTGATTGCACAATAGCCTTTTAAACCCATCAAACGTAATGCTGCTGTTCTTAGATATTAATACACTTACATTGAAAATAGCCAGTTATTAGACTTCACTGTGGGAGGTATAACAATGGACTCTGGTTCACTTTGCGTATTAATATAGCTACTAACAATTATTTGTAGGCTGTGTGTTATTAAATTTGTGCACAATAGCTCCCAGGTCAAATGTGAACAGAATATGTAATGGTAGCATTTAACTCAGTTAACCTTACCTAATTTCTGAATCACACCATTGTGTCACAAACAAGTGACAATTGGCACTTTACACTGCTTTATCGACCTTTATTGACCTTTCAGGACTTCAAAACGTCTCTGACGCATCATCTGATAAACACACAACCCACTTACTATCAGTAAAATATTTTCCTGAGGTAGTAACTGCTCCGCATTCTGCCACAGTTCTGGGAGCAATTATCACGTACAACCTTCCGAAAGCCAGTTTTTCTCAATATACAAATGTAACATTTCATGCATGCTCTCAGGAGAAGCCGTTCTTAACTTCAACTGGTGAGATGCGCCATCACTGCCATTCCTGTTCTGGTTTCATGGATCTCTGTTATATACATTCTGTCAATAGTGCACTAAGGAAAGGGAAACCAACAACAGGTTTACAGTCGAAATTGCTACAGACACATCAACTGTACACCTGTACAGAATCATATACTGTAGCTCTATATAGAAAAAAAAATTAAGATATACAGAATCAGAGCTCAGTCTAACCCTCCACTGCTGTACCAATGTACAGTAGTACAAACACCTATACTCTACAGTTCAGACAGCAGAAACACCCCAACTGGCCTCATTGTGCCTCAGCACACAATGCAGTCGACTAATCTGCACTCATCCGATTTAAACCAGGGGCTTATGACAGACCGCCGCAGTGAACCCGCTGTTAGGTCAGAAACATGTCTACTTCGGGATTGACAATGTTATTTTCAGTGTGGCAGTGTAATAAAAGGTGAGTTTTGTACAGAACAACTTTACTTCACTGCTGCAAAACAGCAGACAGTCTTTGGCAAACAAGGGCTTGCATTTCTGCGAACCTGTGTAATGCTGCAGTGAACTTTTCAAACCACAAACTCTTTGTAGATCCAGCACGCCGGGGCCAATACGCATTTTTCAACATTTCAGATTAGAAACTAGCTACGTTACACTAGATTTTGGCAGAAACTCACACCTGCGCTCGGTGCCAAAACATTTTATGTAAGAGATAAAAGTTGTACTGTACTAACAAAACAATTCCACTACATGAAACACAATGACGTCTCAGACTAGGTTTAGCCATGAAATAGACAAATTTTAATTGTTAAACAGAGAAATGGGCACCAAAACTTCCCATCAAATATATACTACGATAAAGGATTGCATGTGTAACTTTTAGTTTTACTTCCAAAAGGAATCCTATGACTACTCCATAATGTAGTCATTATTATATGACTATATGCACACCTGAAGAAGGCTCCACAGCCAAAACATTGTGTTTCTTTTCTTCTCTTTTCAGCAGGGAATAACCCTGTACTTCTTCCTTTGCAGCCTACGCATGCTGACGCAGCTCCCTACTTGAACTACTGTACATCATTATTATATGACTATTTTATTATAAAGTATGTCACATGGGCAGCATGGTGGGGTGAGGGTTAGCATCACTGACTTGCAGTGCTGGGACCCTGGGTTCTGCTCCTGGAGTGCTATGTGTATGGAGCTTGTATGTTCTCCATGGGTTTTCATGGGTTCGCAACCCTGTAGTCGATAAAGCAGTGAGAAAATGAATAAACTGACAGGTCAGACAGCCTTGGTGCAGCGCAGGGCTACAGAAGACAGTTGATCACGTCACTGCAAACAAGACAGCCATCAGACACCAATCTGCCACCTAGCCTTCTGAGACACTGGGAAGACCCACAGTAACAGCTGGCCGTCATTTGATAGGACACCAGCTCAGTGACGTTTTGGACAAAATGACCTACTTCGTAGTCACAGAGGCTGAGACGACTGCTAACAAACTGTGCTTAAAGCGCAAGAATTTCACCCTTGGTGGCGACTCAAAATTGCTTTCAGACCGGGTCCTCACAGCTCTGAAAACCCACAGACAGTGAAATGAGAGGGCGCGTGCCACCGCAGAGCGTCACGGGGGAGGGCCAGTGCCAGTCATGGGAGCAAAAGAATCCTGAAAAGGCTAAAGCAGCAGAAAATGAAAAGACGCCGGGCTGATGATGTCGATCTTTACGGGCACCATAAAAAGGAACGCGTGCGTTCGTAACAAATGACCAAATCACAGTGTTTCGTATTCCTTGGATGCGGTTGAGCTGGAGCGGCGTTCTACAAATCCTTTGATGAAAGGATTCCGATCCCGAACCCCCCCACTGATCGCAGGCCATCAAGGACAACTTAGCAATTTGGTGCAGCAGCTGATTATTACTTGCATACTTAAGATGGTTTA